CAAATTGCACGAAATTAGCGAACATACACTCATTTGCAAATCAATTTGGTTTTTCGAGAGAATCAACTGGAATCCAGCTGGGCCTCTCGTTTGTGATGTTTTCAGGCAACTGGATGTGCTGCACCAGGCCGTCTCATGTTTCAGTCGCTACGGTATTCGAGATATCACGATACATGTGAATATTTGTGATGTACTACTCATAAGGTTGCTGAAAATCCGTCCACATCCTGAAAACATCACATACAAGAGGTTCAGCTTGGTTCCAAACGAGTCGCCCCCCAAAAAAAACAACTTTGCAAGTGGATGTGTATTCGATAATGCCGGATCTCAATCACCATTGCCATTTTGTCAAAATTCTACGTTAGGTACTTGCGCACCTTTGCAAGTACTTGTGCATTTTGCACTGATCAAATTAAAGGCTTCAATACACTCGTCATGGTGGTATGCATCCTCAATCCTAATATGATGGTCTCGTTCTATCCAAAATAACTTCGCGAAAATTTATACAAGCTCACCTAATCCGGTCACAACTCGCGCACTGACTAATCACCATAACAGAGTCTTTCGGGTCTCCCTTGAAGGGGTGTAAATCTGTCTGTGAGAACAGCTGAAAAACGTGCTTGCGTATCCCAAGGCAATCCATCATTACACACAGGCCATGTCCCTAGGGACATCGCTCTTGTGAACTGCATAGCAAATAGACGGAACTGTGGCAGTTTAGAGGTAAGATGTTCGGATATTTCTGTCGCACAGACACCGTAGTGATTTAACATCATGCAAGACCTTGAGGATACTTTGCGCCATAAATGATTTACATAAAAGTAAACTAAACCGGTGAGAGGACCACAGACCTTCACTGCATAGTCTGCTAGAAAACACCAACCAAATATTTACAGACTGCTGGACAGGAAAGTAAGACTCAGATATGCACATTGTTTTTAAAAACGGGATATCCGCCCTCTCTTGAACGCGTCCTCTCGAACTTTTCTGGATATTCATTGACTACCATGCAAATGTAAACGAATCCTTCAAAGCAACTTCACAAAGTCTGTGATAACTCTCACTTTCCATTAGATCAAGACGGAGTTACGAGAGAACCACATACTACTCGCATGCTTCATCGGTAGTGTCCACGATTACACTGGTGATTTTCTAACAGAAAAATTCCACTGAACCAAAAAGAACCGGTTACTATGGGACGGGAAAACGACGTCTTTTGTCCACCACATATGCTACCTTATGGGTGCCTTCTATTCTTGTTTAGCTGAGAGTTAAACTTAAGTGGAGAAACCTTTTGCGAAGCGTTTCCTCAGGGGACAACGTTGTATAAGGATTATTAGATATGCAAACTTGTACAAGGTTCCTTGTTGTGGACCACAGTCTCCTTAATGCCTTCTTATTACCGTGAACCCCGGACTGGATAGGCGATTGATCGCCTGGGGCGTTTGGACAAAGCAGAAAGTCGATGAACGTGCGAACTGGCTGATTAATTGATCACTGTTCCGTACAAGCGGGGCAAAAATGTGATGCTAAGAATACAACTCATCTGTCAAGGACGAGTGAAGACTAACCATTGGCTGTTATGTAGTCCCGTTACGTTCGGAGCTGGTTCTCCTATTATTCCTATAATCAGACCAACATATCGCTATGAAGGTACAAATGCGGCGGCAAGAAACTAATGGCTTAAGATCGATCAGTCTAGTGCATATATAAATTCAAGATGTTATAAACAATAAACTCGCATCAATGTGTGTGACTACCATTGATTAAAAGCAACAAAGACTGGCCAAAGTTTAGTTTTTAATAACGTACCTGAATTCTCTGATACAAAGTCTTTCATCGTAGGAACACAGTAATTTTCGAAAGGTGTGCCAGCTGAAGATAGAAAATTCTAAGCAGAAATTTTGAAAGAATCAATTTGCGGTGCTATAAATTATATATATATAATCTGTAATAGGCTTGGTTACATTCAATTCGTTGATCTCATTCCCACCGGTGCCAAAAGGCGACATTTAATACCGCTCTTGGCTCCATGCCAAACCGCACGTAGATGTCTAGCTGACATCTGTTCCCGGATTTGTCTGAGGCGCCGAAAACACCGATCGACCTCGGCGCACAAAAGGGAATATTACATGCGTTACGGGCAACACAACAGCTTGCATCGCGTCTAAATCCGAAGGAAGCGAGAAAGGGTTATAGAGGACAGCGCTGTTCTAAAGCGCAGGTGATTATGCATACCCGTCGAATCCAATTTAAGATAAGAGAATGAGTATGGCAGACGCGATTCCCGTGAGTTGCGAATGGTTGCGGGATTTCTGGAACTCCCATTTGCATCACGTTTGTTCAAATATTTTTGGTCCTGCCCTCGTGAAATTTTTCTGGTGAACCTACACCAAAGACGAGAGACATTGGATCTGAATTTTGTTCTTGTTAGACCTCACCATCACTGTATCCTTCTGGGGTGTCTGGTTCGAACTCCAAATTTTTGAGATGAGAGGAAATCTTGTTGCCCCTACTCCGCTGGCGCACGGTGGAGACACCTGGGTCTTCATGTGTGAAGAGTCCAGCAAGTCCATGCTTTAGAGATGTGGCACGTTTGCACGGCAAAACGAACGCTGACACAGTAACCGTCCTGGAGTTGTCGATCGAATCCTGTCAGGACTGCTCAGTAAGGTAGCGCCACTGACTACTGAAAATTGATGGACGACCTTCGTTCATTTCTAGTTGGTAGTGAAATTTTTAAACTTGTGAGAATGAACCCACAAGGACAGAATGACAACTATTTAAACAAGATTGATGTGAAAGCGGTCTGTCTCTACGGTTACGGCATTTTTTCCCTTCGTCATTTCCAAATAGTTTGTTGGTTTTGATTGTTAAATTACACATGCTCAAGTCGTCTGGCCTATTGGGCAAGTAGCACTGGATAGTTTGATATCTTTTTGAATCATGTTAATTTTGTGGAATACTAGCTGAAAAGGTTAGTGGTTGTGCGTTGAGTGGCGTTACTTGTGTGTTAATATACGTGCAAAATATACTAAGCTCAAAGGTCACGTATGCATCGGCGAATGAGGACACGGGATAACAGAACAACCAACAGAACCGCCCGACCGAAAAACCAATCGCAGTCAAAGGTCATCCCCGGCTAACGGCACGTATATTAACACACACGTAAAGCTACTCAACGCACAACCACTAACACACCGCTACGCTAACACACTTCGCTCCCCAATAACGCACTGATGATGTTACCTCGATTGGTGATGAAACGCTTGCAATCAAATTGCCCAGCTCAGCAAACCACCATCTACGCCAACTGAGCTACCGACATTTTCCTCTATAGAAAAGCTGAAAAAGTTGAATTAATCACAAATTACACAGCTGAACAGTTCAAATGCCCTCGCAAAGGTTAGCGCACGAAATTGCTGTCCAGAAGCTCGAATCGAGCCATGACATCTCGAATGCTTCTGTCTATGCGTGAGGTTCCTGATAGTATTTCAGTTCTAAATCCTCCATGTTGTTAAGATACCAACCGGTGTGGCGTTTTCCAATACCACATTCACTTTTACCTACTTGACTACACTACTTTGAGTGTGGCTGCTCCCAGATGAGGTTCTCATTCGTTGATTGGGCAATCAAGGTTAAACACAGAGACCCAGTCAGTTAGCTGCTCTGCCCATCAGTCAGTTGGCAACGACTGGCCAAACGATTTTCCTGGTCATCTCCAAATGAGACTACCGCACCGACGAAAACGGCAATAAAATGCTTTGTTTTATTACAGTGGCCATCACAAGGCGCCCATCGAAAATCAAACCCACAAACCGGTCCTCTTCCGTATGGGAGAAACTAAATCATTCCGTTTACGCTGCTGGATATGCCTCGACTTGCATCCAACTTCTCGAACTCGGATCACCATAAACCTTGATTGGGTTCCCTAGGGAATTGGTGGGAACAGCTAAGGCAAAACCAGATATG